CCTGGCGCTGCTATCTGACCGGCTATCGATGTGGTGAAAACCAAGTGACCACACGGAGTGTATGATGATTCTGGAACCGTAGGTTTCGATTGACGTATTAATTTCGGGATTCAGTTGTGAACCTTCCCATTTGCCTCAGCAAGCATCTGCGGCAAGAAAGCTCGAACGAGATTAATCGGACCAAGCACATTCACTTTAAATATTTTTTCGACATCTTTCTCTGCTTGATCAAGCACATATCTCGCGTTGAGGATACCAGCGTTGTTGATCAGAATGGTTACCCCCCCCCACATTCATGTCGTAACTCTTCAGCGGCCTTCTCGACCTCCAAAGTACAACTGACGTCAACCTTCTGACACTTAATCTTTACTCCATGTAAGTCAAGATCCTGACGGGCTGTTTTCTTCATATCTTCTTCATTGATGTCCCATACGATCACATTTTTGTAGTATTTGCACAGCTCAAGTCACAGAACCCGGCCCAGGCCAACACCAGCACCAGTATTGAGAACAACCGAATCTTCCAAATTTGACAATTTCCGCTTAAATAAGTACCACAGACCGACGGCTACAGCGACAACTGAGACGAAGACCACAAAACACAACATGGAGTTCGAGTTGACGCAAATGCGAAAGCCGTAAGTGGGTACCAAAACCTCCGATTTCTTACCCAAAGAAATTTAATGTTTGCTAACCGACATCTATCTGTATAAGAAATATTGGATCCAGAAAGAGAAAATATTTTACGAGTGAAAACTCGCTGAAACTTTTCAATCTTTCTATGGTCAGTCGCGTTCATAAGACTAAGAAGGGCACAGCAGTATTCTAGGATATAATTAAGTATATATAAGGGAGATAGGTGGAGCCTTTGAGAACCCTTTTTACAGATAGATGCTGTCAGATCATGCATGTCGTTCAAAGTCATGTATACATTATATAAATCGTTGTTGTCTACCAAATGTATGACCAGCAAACAAAGTAAGATCAAGCCTTCTTTTGAATGCATCGACGCTTTCAGCAAGAACA